TTTCTCAAGCAGTAACCTGTTTCAGACTGCACATTTGTCTTCTTGATAGGTAAAAGGAAAGATGTGACAACTAGTGGTTTGTATGGCAAAGCTAATTGCCAGTGTTTATTGAACACTCATATAAATTATCTATTGCTTGATAACAACTTACCTCAAAGCTTAGCAAGTAAAAACAACATAGTTTCTGTGGATCAGGAATTTGAGAGCACCTTAGCTGTTTGGGTCTGCTTCAGAGTCTCTTATGAAGTTGCAGCCAAGTTGTCAGCTGGGGCTGCTATATCATCTGAAGGCTTGACTAGGGAAAGGTATTTCTAAGCTCACTCACATGGTTGTTTATTTCCTTGTCACATGAGCTTCTCTGCAGTATAGCTAACAATATGGCAGCCATTCTGATTCTTAATCCTATTTATGTAACCAAGCATTCTCCCTACCTCTAGAAGCTTTGGGCATATATTATTTGTCCCCACTGCACTAGACTTTCATAATGAGGTACATTGATGTGGGTGGGGATCAAGTGAAATAATGAATGTGAAATGGTAAAATAGAATGGCTAGAGAAACACAGTGTTCAAGCAGGATGGATAGTAAGCTGGAGAAGAGCTGGAATCAGGGGAAGAGAATGAATGTTACATGAAACTGGGAGCAGGAAAGTCCAAGAAGTCAATGGTGATCATCCTGTCTTACCTGGTATGGTGTCTTTAAATACCTTCCTTAAAAGTTACTAGTCTCTAGCAAAATCTCCCTATTCCTACACAGCTACTGAGGTCAAGGGGTACGTACATTCAACACCAGTTCATTCACCCAGAAGGCTTGCAAACCAGTGTTGTTCTTGAACTAACCCAGCAATACAGAAAGGTTGCTGAACCCTTGAATGTGATATCTTCTTTGGTCACTCACACGATCCCACTGTGTGAGTGTGTTTTTAAAAATGAGTTTTGGATCTACACGTGAATCAGAGTGTAGATGTGAACGTACTTTATTAATTTTTTAAACACTACAAATTAAGTTGTTGGATTGCTGCTGTTTGGAGAAACCAAACTTTCTAATTGTGTGCAAAACAAAAGTTGAATGATAGAAAATACAAATTAACAGTGTATAACCTATTGTGAGAGAACTACTTTCCGAGTATGGACAATACCATATCAGTGTTTTCAACTTTTTTGAAGTAGTTGCATTAAGTTCAGTAACAATTTATGTTGAGTTTATGGTAATTTTCCACTCCCTTTCTCATAAAAAGTGCATCCTGCTATTTGCTCCCTGTACTCCACCATATTCTTGAATTAAAAGGGTTATTCTATTCTTTCTTCCTCTACCTTTCCTTTTTCCTTTATTATTGCATACTTGGGATTTATTTTTCAGGCAAAGGCAGATATTTTAGAAAACTAAACCTTGATTCTCTGTGGATGGTTTCCATATTAATGGGAAAAATATCACTGTGCTGATTGTGAACAACTGCCAAATAAATCTTTGGAAATATGATGTAGTATAACCTGCTACTCATCAAGTTTCAGAACCTTTAAGAGTCTCTGTAGTTAGGAATACCCCACTTACTTATGCAGTTGGCCTGACGTTTAGAACAGGCTTGCTTCTGCCATTGTTATGCTGCATGTGGAAGTATTAAAAATAAAGAACTGCTTTCCTCCCCTCCATAGCCTTATGGAATAGTTGTTACTGATCTGTATTTGGAATAGACATTGATTTCTTTTGACTCTATCTAAAATACATTAAACATACATATATTTGCTTTATTTTAACTTATAGTTAATTAAATGGGTTCTGTTATAAATGAAATTCTTTTAGAACTATGGACCAGTGAGTTATTTTTCCATGTATTCTCTACTCTTTACAATTCTACCTTGTCTTTTGAGAATATTTCCTTCCTTCCTTCCTTCCCTTCCTTTTTGAGACAGAGTCTCACTCTGTCACCTAGGCTAGAGTACAGTGGCATCATCATAGCTCACTGTAACCTCAAACTTCTGGACTCCAGCTATTCTCCTGCCTGAGCCTCACGAGTAGCTAGGACTACAGACACATGCCACCACACCTGATTAATTTTTCTGCTTTTTGTAGAGACTGGGTCTTGATCTTGTTCAGGCTGGTCTCGAACTGCTCGCCTCAAACAGTCCTCATGCCTCAGCCTCCCAAAGGTCTAGGATTACAGGCCTGAGCCACTGTGCCTGGTAGAATGTTAGATTTCTAATGTCCATAACAGGTTAGGAAATTGCAACAACAACAAAAAACTTTAAAGGGATTAAGAAAGAATATTTTAGTGTATCCAGAAGCAGAGAACTTTCTGATAAATGTTGCCAAGACAGACATGAGCAGGAGAAATAATTTGTTAAAGGAAACTTAAAGAAGCCCCTAGGAGGGTTGGGGTAAGGTGCAGTGGGGATAGAATTGAGGTTGAAGTGGGGATGGGATAGAGAGAGAGAGAGAGTTGCCTAAGCACAAGTAAGCCTCAGGTATTTATGGATTCCTAATATTGTGGTGAGTCATAAAGTAAACTTCAATCTCGCTTTTCAGGAGTTGAAAATCTAATTGGAAGGAGAAAAACTATATATATGAAACAGAACAATTAAGTAGTGTTAATGCCATACTCATTAGGTATAATAGTTTAGAGAAGGGAAGTGGTGAGTAAAGACTGCAATGGTTTTGAAGAATGGTTAAGATTTACATAAAAAGAAAAAAGACATACTTCAAATGATAGCAAAAACACCAAAATGGATTTAGAAGCCAAAGTAAACAATTTTTTGGTATATATGCACTTTACAAAGCCATACACACACACACACACACACAAGTTTTAAATTTTTGCTATAGACAAAAATTAAAGGCAGCAAATATTGTCACCAAAAATATTAACCAAATAGGCTGGGAGCAGTGGCTCACGCCTGTAATCCTAGCACTCTGGGAGGCCAAGGCCGGCGGATCGCTCAAGGTCAGGAATTCAAGACCAGCCTGAGTAAGAGCGAGACCCCCGTCTCTACTAAAAATAGAAATTAATTGGCCAACTAAAAATATATAGAAAAAATTAGCAGGACATGGTGGCACATGCCGGTAGTCCCAGCTACTCAGGAGCCTGAGGCAGAAGGATCGCTTCAGCCCAGGCGTTTGAGGTTGCTGTGAGCTAAGGCTGATGCCACGGCGTTCTAGCCCAGACAACAGAGTGAGACTCTGTCTCCCAAAATATATATATATATATAACAAATAGAACGAGTAAAATATTTATTTTAGTTATAATTTTTATTTAAAAATCACTTTATATGGCCGGGCGCTGTGGCTCACGCCTGTAATCCTAGCTCTTGGGAGGCCGAGGCGGGCGGATTGCTCAAGGTCAGGAGTTCAAAACCAGCCTGAGCAAGAGCGAGACCCCGTCTCTACTATAAATAGAAAGAAATTAATTGGCCAACTGATATATATATAAAAAAATTAGCCGGGCATGGTGGCGCATGCCTGTAGTCCCAGCTACCCGGGAGGCTGAGGCAGAAGGATCACTGGAGCCCAGGAGTTTGAGGTTGCTGTGAGCTAGGCTGACGCCACGGCACTCACTCTAGCCTGGGCGACAAAGCGAGACTCTGTCTCAAAAAAAAAAAAAAAAAAAAAATCACTTTATAAATATAATAAAAGTTTTTACAAAAGATACATATTTCAATAGAAAAATGAGCAAAGTACTTTAGCAGGAAAATTACTAAGCAAGAACAAGAAGTGGCCAGTAAACATATCTCAAAATATTCAGCCTCAGTAAAAAAGAAATGTAAATAATAAAATGCAAGTTTTCTTTTATGAAATTAGCAGTGGTTTAAAAAATAATATTCATGAATGTGCAGGAACAGGCACTTACACACTGCTGCAAATTTAAATTCCTATGGCACGATGTGGCAGTAAATAAGGAGCCCTAAAAAAATAGCATACTTTCCAGTACAGCAGTTCTGTTTCTAGGAGATATCCTAAGGAAATCATTAGAAAAGATAAACAGAAGAAGTTCATCCAACCTTTATAATACAGAAACATTAAGAACCACCCCCCAAGATGATATGACTACATTAACATAGATATGAGAAAAAGCAAATGATGGAGCATCTTGTATCACATAATCCCATTACAATTGAGAATGGATACTTGTGGAATGATTGCGTTAGATCTGCATACACATAGGGAAAGTCAGAGACGTGATATGCAACACATTGTTAGTCATTCTTAGCTCTGGATGGCTGGATAATGGATGGCTTTTATTTTTTCCTTTTTTATTATAAATATGAATGTGTATTATTTTTTGAAATACATTTTAAAGAAAAATAGAGCTTGAGAATAAGGAGCAGGTGCTCACAATATTCATTAAGAATGTATTTTCTCAAACTATTTAAACATTAAGGGCCAGGCGCGGTGGCTCACGCCTGTAATCCTAGCTCTTGGGAGGCCGAGGCAGGCGAATTGCTTGAGGTCAGGAGTTCAGAACCAGCCTGAGCAAGAGTGAGACCCCGTCTCTACTATAGATAGAAAGAAATTCATTGGCCAACTAATACATATAGAAAAAATTAGCCGGGCATGGTGGCACATGCCTGTCCCAGGAGTTTGAGGTTGCTGTGAGCTAGGCTGATGCCACGGCACTCACTCTAGCCTGGGCAACAAAGCAAGACTCTATCTCAAAAAAAATAAAAAATAAAATAAACATTAAGGAAGCTGTAATGATCTTATTAGGTTCTAGGACCTCCAGGAATTTGGCATGGGAAGATTCCCACTCTTCCCACCCCATCCCATTTGTCTAGAAAGACTGAGCCTAGACAATTTTTTCCTTTACTTCTTAAAGAAATGTACATCTGTATAGTTAATAACTGCAGGACATGGTTGGTTTTATAACAGTTACAAACTAACAGTTTCTGTTCATCTGTAGTTAAATCTTTGACTCACAACTTTAGAAGCTTCTGGAAGAGTGTGAATGTTCTAAGTTTATATTTGCTTGATCTTTATATTTATTTTATCCTTTCTTTTGCTCCTGTTTAGATTCTATCATAATGAATGGATCCAGTGTGGCAAATACATCACCTAATGTAAAATCCAAAGAGGACCAAGGGTTAAATGGGCATGATGAGAAGGAAAACCCATTTGCAGAGTACATGTGGATGGAAAATGAGGAGGATTTCAACAGACAGGTAAAGAAAGAAATGGAGAGTTAATACATGCAATTTAACAGCTATAATATTTTACTGTCAGTCTGTTACAAAAGAAATGAGTAGAGTTGGCTTTAGAATAACTCAAAAATACATGGAGGCCTCATCTGGGGTGACCAGGAAACATCTTCAGCTGGTAAGAGACTAGAGTGATAGTATGTTGGAGGAAGATATTGATATCTTTCTACCATGCTGATTAAAAAGGACACAAACACCAGACTAATCAGTTGATAGGTGAAAATCCTCACGTGATGAGCCCATGTATAAACAGATAGATTTGCATGTATTCCCCCCCACATACATTATGGCATGCCTTTTAAGTGTAGTTCATATTACACAGTAATTGCTGCAGAGAGGTCCTGCTCTTAGCCTCCTTCTAGCTAGATTTGTTTATTGGATTTCCCTATGTGACTATAAACCACTCTAGGAGATTCCTAGAATTTAATCAAATGGGACTCTCCCCGATCCCAGAGGATTGACTTGAAACCCTTGTATCAAACCAAGGTGGCTGAGCTCCTTTATCCTGCCCTAATTCCAGCTTTAATCCTAGGAGCCACTGTGGCTCCATAATTCTCTATAACAATCAGTGTGAAACTAATGGCTTAAACTGTGGAGCAGTAAAAAAACAGAATGGTAGTGAGGGTTTTTTTTTCTATATTTTGTGATTTGTTGCTTTCATTTGCATATAGGAAATGTGAAACTCTGCATTTCATTTTGAAAATAAATGCAGACATAAAGGAAGTTTAAGAATTCTGAGTGAAGATAAATATGTTTGCCATGGGATTTTAGAAAGGTTGTATTTGGCTCTTGTGTTGACTTCCCTGTTCCTGCTTGCCTTTATTTAGCCTCTGAATGGAAAATATGTTGTTGAGAGTATAAACCATTTTTACTAGCTTTGGTAATACTAACATGCTCTGAACCCCCACTGATCAGGATTGTACTGGGACCATTAGGAGGCATATATCTGAGCTGTGGGTTAGCTGTGAGCTTCTATATGTAAGAGTTTAGCAAACTGAAGCAGAGTGCATGGAAAAATGCTGGAAAACTAGGAACTTGCAGAAACACGTACACATACATACACATACACACATGCATAAAGAGATTGAGGAAAGACTATTGAGAAGCTTTAAAAATTTTAACCCTTTGCACTTGGATGTCGAGTGTGACTTGACATGGTTAGCAAAAATTATAGATATTAAAATTACTCTTTGAGGCCGGGCGCGGTGGCTCACGCCTGTAATCCTAGCACTTTGGGAGGCCGAGGCAGGCGGATTGCTCAAGGTCAGAAGTTCGAAACCAGCCTGAGCGAGACCCCGTCTCTACCAAAAATAGAAATAAATTAATTGACCAACTAAAAATATATATACAAAAAAAAAAAATTAGCCGGGCATGGTGGCGCATGCCTGTA